ACTGCAGGACTTGGTTGTGCATTAGCAACTAAAACTTAATTTGAGCCTGAGAGGGTTAAAACAGCTGTAATTCAGTAAGAACTCATGTCTGAAAGTTTGTTTTTGACTGTATATATACTGTGTGGTTGTTAAAAATGCAGCTTACAGTTAGCATTATAGCTAGCTATGCAGAGACAATTTAAACACACAATATATAACAATCCAATTTGTGCTAATAAAGTTGGTTTAAAATTAGTTTTGCTTGTTGAAAACGCCGTCAGCTGTGTTGGGAATTTCATGATTCAGCACTGAAGCCCTTTTTCTGGTTAGTTTAGCTTAGCGTTGCAAATGAAAATGGGAGAAATAGCTCCCCGTTTGATAAAAACACTGCTTAATAATAAATACAATAAACATAGAAGCGACATAGACTTCTCACTGAAGCATAAGTCAGACAATAGCAATAAAAACAACAAGTCTGATTCTTTAAATGTAAACCTGCGCCTGTTTTTAGTACAGTACAATCCATTGTGTACATTCACTGTTATATGATAAGTATACATTTATGCATTACTCAGTTTTGAAGTTGAATTCCTTTTTCGAATCGTGGATTTTGTGTTGGCCTGTTGGGGGGGAAAAAAAGAAAACACAGTTAATTCAAGGTCAATTTGGAAAAAAGATCAATATATTTGCACCTAAAGGCTATTTAAATGGATTTATTCACAGCTCAGCAAGAACAGATTTGGATTGTGTTGCTACAAACAAAGGAGAAAAATAAATGCAAATATGATATAAGAGTATTTAAATAGGATAAAATGGGAAAAAAAGTACTTTTAAGCATGTTTAAAGCATCTAAACAAACCATATTTAAATGCATACATGAATAAACAAACAGCGCTGCTGTTTTCAAACGCACAGTGTTCTTTTATCTCCACATGCTGTTACCTATGATTAGTGTTTGTGTTGTATTTTATTAGCTCTTTATATGTGCATACGCTCAACCAGCACGAAGCCCCGCTTTGTGGTGATGCAGCCCAGTTTCCCCACAGGGATCATTAAAGTTTCATCTAAGCTAATCAGATCCGGAGGGCACCCCCTAATAATAGTAATTCATACAATTATAATAGTTTTTCTTCTGGCTTGCAACGAACCCTTAAAGTAAGTAGTTTAGCTTCTATAGTGTGTCATGGTTTGGTTTCTCTTCCCTTTCCGGCTTATGATTTGTGGTGAACATGTGCATGTGTTGGTTTAGCAGTGAGTTTTTAAAAAAGGAGGTAGTTGAATTAAAAATGAAACTGGTGTCTGACGGTCATTTCAGTTTGCTCTAACTTATTTTGAATCTGAGGGTATAGTAAATAAGTGGAATGAACCAATCCTGTGTGTCAGGTGTCCAGATTTCTGTTTAATGATGCTGGTCGCCAACAGCTTGAAACCCATCAAGGAAAAAAACAACATGAAAGGATTCATAAAATAATGGAGGACATTTGATGCAAAGATGTCATTATTTTTTCTTCTTGTCATAAGATCTTATAACCACTCTGATCTGTCTTGAGGGGCCCCATAAAACCGCTGAGAACAAAAAAAGTTATCTCTGCAGTACAATGTCAGGTCACAGGACTTAGCATTAGCTGGACCGCTTAGTGACACTGAACTTGGAAAACTAGATTTAAATACTATGAAGCTACTTTCTCTGATTTCTGGGGGGTTTAGGCTTTAGAATTTAAACAATATTGCATTTTGACACTTATAATAATGTAACAGCTTAGTTAGTTTTACAATGATGTGTACAAAAACCCTGCAGTATACTGAAAATGAGACACACGGGGGGAAAAGGGATAACACACCTGTGAAAGCAATCAGCATGGTCCAAACGGTACGAAACATAACTGACACAGGAAACGAAACAACGCTAAACACAGGGACAAGAAGCTCACAGCAGCCACAGAGGCAGAGGAACAGGTGCTAACAAAAGATGAGACAGTGAAACACAGAGGAAACTTCTTTTTTCAGATGCTCCCTTAGAGGTCATGACCGCAGATCATCTGCCTCCATCTCACCCTATCCCTAACATCCTCACCCCATGCCCTCCTTCACTACGTCCATGAACCTCATCTGTGGGCTTCCTCTTTGACTCCTGCCTGGCAAACCTCACATCACAGCAGGTCATGTAAACCGCCTCTTTCAATCTTGCTGATCACCTCATATCACAAATAAAAGACAAAATATCACTAGAAACCACAAAGAAGTAGAAAAAACAAAGAAACCACTAGTTTGTCTAGCTCTTTGACTACTGTCCATCTGTCCAAGATTTTCCCCAGCGTCAAACCCCCTGACACCTGCTTTTAGAGGAGCTATTTAAACATTTCATACACTCTAGTGGTTTCTGTTTTTTTAAAAAAAATTCTGTATGTTTCTGGTTTCATCATTTCTTTTTTGCAAAACATTTTGTAACATCTCCTTTCCTGCTTCTGCTCACTTTGTCCTGACTGTATCTGAATATACAGCCCTATCCTTCCCCTTAGTCTTTGTTACAGGGAGGACTTGTTGGTTTCTGCCTGTACATTTTTTGTACTCTGTGTTAGACTTTTCAGGATGAATAAAGGTTTGCTGTTATTTGTGGAAGGTCCTGCCTTTGGATCTCTCGCCTCAACACTGATGCAATGCATTTTCAATGGCAAAGTCTCAACGCTGCCCTCATGTTCTGCGTGATTCTGGTGAGTCAAGCCTGAAGATGCGTGGCTTCAACTCTTAACTTCCACAAATCTGACCGCAGCTTTCTCTGGAAGGAGCTACGTTTTTCTGAACCGGGTGTTTATTCATAAAGCCTAAAAATCCCAGGCTTGCTTTACAGTCTGTACAGTACATGAGTCATGACCTGGATAAAGAAAAACCTTCCTTCACTGAGAAGCAACTTTATGAATGTCTCTGACATAACAGACAGGCACACAACATGACCTAATGTACAGAGTGTACATTTCAAACTCATTTTATTCTCACCCACAGGAGATGGTTGCAATGCCAGATCTTCAGAAATGGATTATTTAAAAAGAAAAAACAAGCCAGTCAAATAAAATAAAAAAACAGTCAAATAAAAGACCAAACCATGAGTGACTAAAAGGAACTAAAAAGAGGAAGGTGATTCAAAACGGCCAGTTGGTGGGCAGATTCTTATGTGGATGGAAGATTATTCCTAAGTCCAGGATAAATAACAGTAAAGCCCAGGTCACTGAGAGAGGTTCTTGGGCTCATAACCTCAGTTACCTGAGGGCATAATACAGAGGTGAGACCGTACAATACCATCACAGGACAAGCAGTATACTGTAAATATACTGTAAGCAGTATATTTACAGTAAAAAAAA